TCAACTTACGCTGCCAACGCCTCGTAACAGCACAACCATTCTTCCATACAGTCACAACCACTGTCGTCATGGCAACCTGCATGGAACCTCTACCGGTGCGAATAAAAGAACTTTGTGGTTAGCCCAACGAGCGACAAAGGTCTGACACCAAGAAGTGCATTGGTTTGAAGTTTGAACCAGTACGACAGTGAGCCAGATTGAATCAGCGTGTTAGTATGGACCATGTGGTACTCCAAATCCCAAAACCAAATTGCACCTCGGAAAAGCCACTGTGGTAAACGCCATTTGAGAGAAACCAAGGCCGAAGTGCAACGTTTCGTTGAATTCGCGGGATAATGATTTCACGCTTGGATATCTTTTTTCGGAACAACATGTTTTAAGCTTCTAAACATTTATCACACAATAGTTTTGACAACTTAGATTGTCGCAAGCATTACGAAACACACATGTTGGAAAAAAGACAACTGAAATGTGCAACTGTTATAGTCGTGAACAGCAGTTTAATGAGATTTCTTCTGCAGGGGCTGCTGCTTCCAATCAAAATTCTAAGCTATTCAGAAGGATTTTGCAAGAACTGATATCAAAACTGGCAAGAAAACCACGTCTGATATAACATTAAGCAAAAAGTAAAAAAGTGGTATACTCCCATTAAAGTTAACACGCGCCCGGGTGACCGGCTAGATACCCTTCGCTCGGGTGGGGGGTCAATTTGCCCCTCCCCCCTGAGATCTCAGGAACTAAGAGAGCTAGAGACACAAAATTTGCAGTGTGTTAACCTATACGTGAACTCACTTAGGTCAGAGTTTGAGGTTCAGGGATACATAAAGTTTGAGAACAGGGATATCGTAGATACTCTAAGGAGACAGTTCTCTCCAGTTTTTTTTAAACAAAGGAGTCCGTTTGTGATCTCCCTGGTAATAGGCCAAATCTGACAGAAGGCAGTCTTGTAGATTTGACGGTTACCGAGGGTCACCGTCATGGTAACCACCGATGGTATGGCAAGGGGATAGTTTGAAGGGAAATCAAGGCTGATAATGCGGCCAGACCTGACCAGTTGGATGGTAGATCGCTGAATGAATGTGCTAGTGCTTTACCTTGTGCTCGTATACTAATATTTGATAGGTCGCTGATTTTTGCCAGAAGTACTGACGACTGATGCAATGCCAATGTAGTACCGATATCTAAGAAGGGAACCAAAAGAATGCCAGACTAGAGGCATGCCAGTACTATCTCACTAGTGTGCAAGATGTTAAGGAAATTCATTAGGGCTGGCGTTCAGTTACGCTTCGATAGGCATCAGTTGATAAATAGTCGTCAGCGTGGTTTTCTTTCTGGTGGGCCCTGCTTGACAAATCTCTGGAGTTCATGGAGCATGTACTAGTCAGGTAGAGAAAGCCAATAGTTTGGATGATGTTTATCTGGATTTTAGTGAGGTGCCACACCAGCATCTCTTACGTCAGTTAAAATTGCATGATATAAGGGAAACAATCTTGCTGGATAGGGGCTTGGCTGCAAGACAGGAAACAAAGAATAGTGCTCAATGGCACTAAATCTCAATGGGGGCTAGTGCAGAGTGGGGTTATACAGAGGTCAGTATTGCGCCCTTTGTTCCTCACTTTTTTTTTAGATAAGTATTGAGATATAATTAGAAAGTAAGGTGCTTAAATTTGCAGACGGCGTCAAATTGATATGGGTGTCGAAAAATGCAGACCAGGTGCAAGTTAAGTTGAAGACACTAGTGAAATGGGCTTCTCTGTGGCAGGTGTCATTTAATTGTGATAGGTGTAAGGCGATGCATATGCATAGATCTGGCAGTGGGGGCACTACCTAAGAAATAGGAGATCAAGAGTTGGACCAGATCGAGGACGAAAAGGTCTCAGAGGTGATAATTTTTAGAGATTTGACGGCTGAAAAGCAACGTGGGGCCGCTGGGAACAAAGAACGCGGGATTCTGAGACTTATCAACAGAAATGTCTATTAAAAGAGTAGAGATGTTGTCAAAAGTTGTAAGTAGCTTGTTTCAGATCACACCTAGAGTATTGTGTACAGACCTGGCCCCCATGCCTCCAAAAAGATATAGATGGGCTGGAGAGAGTACAGCGAAAAGCAGCTCGGATGATAAATGAAATTCGCAACTTAGAATATTATAAGTCTTAACGCCTTGGAGTTGCATTCACTGAAATATCGTAATATAGAGGGGATTTGATAGCGGGTTTGTAATGTTATGAGAGGGATATGCAAGGTAGATCTACAAGGAGCGCTGGAAATTAGGCTGAGACTTGGGGGAAACCAGTTTCTGTTAGCAAACATTAGGGGTAAATCTATGAAGAGACAGGTTTCATTTAGTCAAAGGCAATAAATCATTGGAATGGGCCGCCAGACCACGTTATAGTACGTCTCTCCCTAGCA